TTACGGTTTGAAAATATTTCGAGTGTAGATATGAATGGTTTTATCCCTCAGGCGGGCAGGATCCAGCACACCCAGCGCCTCAGACGCCGGTGGCTTCTGTCGCAGCCCAGACCCACGCATTGCGGGAGGGGATGATCGGCCCCTCCAGGGACCTACTGAGTCTGGGCATCACCAGTGCCCTTGGCCTGGCTGGTGGTTTGCATGAGCCGCCACAGCCGGCTGTCCCGAACCGTGCCCAAAGCCAAGATACAAGTGACTCCTGGGCAATGTCTATTTTCATACTGACATTACGAGCAACTGCCCTCCAGATGAGGGAAACATTCGTTTTTGCTTTGTGGTTAAGAATACAGATTGGCACAAACCTGATCTCTGAAAACAGCGCGCTTTGTGTAGCACAGAGCATCAGTGCTGTTAAAGACTTTCTTAAAAAAAGAATGTTTTTTATACCTACTCTTCCTGTTCAAGGATTATTTGGATACTCCAGCTGTTATCTGGCACTTTCAGACAGGAAGACAAGACCACAATGCCAGTATCCTAGGTTTATTGTGCCTTATTAGTTGAAAGCATTTTTGTAACTATAATAAAAATATGTATTCCTGGTGTTCAGCCTTCCCCATGAATGACAGAGAACTTCTCAAGAACTGTAAAATATTTCATCTATTTCCATCTGAATCCAATTAATGAAATCAAATAGCCAGAATATTTAGAGTACACAAGGAATGAGGAAAATGTCAGTGCAGCCTGAAGACAATTCAGATGTCACTGAAATTAATACCATTTACATTCCTTGCTGTCTCTGAAGTCACTAGCTAGAATTTTGTTTCTGTTATTGTTGCATGCTGTCACAAAATCATATAAAAAGGGAATAATAATCTCTTTCCCACCTCAAAAACTTCTTTAAACAAACATTGAGCCAAGATGTGTCCTACAGTCACAGCTAAAGCTCAGGGAGGCTGCACAAAACTTATCCAGTCCTCCCAAGCTACCTTTTTTGAATGCAGAAGGCTGTGCCCTCAAAATGGTTTGGGTCTCCTGAATAACGAAATGGCAATTTTTGTCTGCCCACTGAAAAGTTCACTGCATTGGAGCTTGGACTAGCCATGGTACGAAAATCTCTTTGTGCCTAAGCATATTTCTCTCTTGACTGTCCTGCAGTGAAGTGCTTTGAGGAACAGTGAAGGGATTGGCGTATACTTCTGGACCTAAAACTCTGAGCTTCTCCTGCTGCAGGTCTAAGGTAATATGGCTCAACTGTCTTAGTCCTACTGACGCCTGTATAAAGGGGTGCTGTCACGTGAGGGTGTCGCTAAGACAACACACAGGGAAAGGAGGAAACATTAGAGGGTACATCTTGACTCCAGATCAGGAGGAAGAAATGGACTTGGGGTGCAAGTCAGGATGGTATGGACAGATTTGGAGAAAGAGAAAAAGAGAATGACTAGATTTTTCTTCAGGGAGAAGCCTCATACCTGGGGAATGTGGTATGCACAACAGCTGAGACTGAAATTCTTGAGGAAATGCAATATTGGCAGCTGAAAACACAATATTGTCTTTCTAACCTCAGTTTCACCTCTAAATGGAGATAGTATATTTTTCAGTAACTGATTTAATCAGCAGAATTTCTTCCTCATTACCTCTGGACTTTCTACACTTTTCTTCCAGATCTCAAAGGTCTTTCTTCTATTCTGAGAATAACCTTTTTTTTCCTACACATACTGCATCCCTTCCCTCTCCTCCCTCCTCAATTATGATATTCCGTAGATGACTGAAAAAAAAAAAAAGCCAGCAAAATCGCTCCATTCCACATTTTACATAATGAAATCTGTGGCACAAAACGTGTGCTGGTCATTGAGCAAAAAAAAGATAGAGCAAAATTTTGTTGTGTTAGCCAAGAAAGGTTTTTAAAAATGGTTGCGTCAAAGTTCACATCTCTGGCAAGCACCTAGCTGCTGCTTAGCACTGAAAGCCTTTTCGGGTGCGTGGCTGATTTACACAGAGGCGCAGACTCAGGACTCTCATCCCCAGCTGATACTGCAAGGAAGACATATTCCAACGAGCTTGCAATATAAGTAGCCTTGTGGAGCTGACATTAACTAAGACATGGCTTTATCCAGCAGTATGCTGCAGAATCAAATGTAGGGACATTTCAAGGAGACTGGTGGATGCTTTGCAAAACTGAAGGGAAATTTCCTTGCCGGAATACAAAATCCCTCTCCTTACTTTTAATTCATATTTATTACTAAAGCTTATGCTGTAAACAAGGCTAGACCGAGAGGCATTTTCTTTATGAGCTGCAAAACTTGAGATTATAAATATGACCATAAAAAAATACAGCTCCATAAATTGTACGGATAAGCTGGGAATAGACCTTTTTAAATCTGATTTTGATAGAAATCTAAATAAGATCAGATCTAGTCATTATGTGAATAGAGAGCTAGATGGGGACTACACAGCTGTGAAGCTGCAAGGACTGATATCCTGTTACCAGGAGTGCATACAGCAGCAGCGCTAGTGGAGGCCTAGGGAGGGTTCAGCTGCCAAACACTGCTCGGTAAGTTTGTGCCTGGCTAAGCAAAGAGAGGGAGGTCTTCTAAGGAACATTGCTTGGCACTGATGTTAGGGGATTGTTTTATGCGTGTACATCAGCTTTGGCTTCTACAAAGGTATGAAATGCATGTCTAAAGGCAGAGGAAGAGTTTGCAAAATGCAGCAGCACATATATTACATGAAGCAGTTGGCTTGATAAAAAGACACCTACTTTCCATTAAAACAATCAGAACTGGGTAGAAAATCATTTAATTCTCGCAACAAAGGCTTTCGAGGTGCCACCCTCCCCCCCCCAGCTTTTTCAGCCTGAGAGAAAAGTGAGACCTTTGGAGAGTAACACCCTCCCACAAGCCTGCAGACTGATGCTGGGGCCCTTAGGTGAGATTTGGGGGCCTGAATGCCCCAGGGAGGCAGCCCGAGGCACGGAGCCCAAAGGCTAGTGTGGCGGCTCTTCACCCCACTTCACTCTGGGCACAGTGCTTAAAGGCTAATTACTCAAACTTCACCAAGTCCATGGATGGTTTCCCTCACAGTTATTTCAGAAGAGGCCCCTCCACCGATTAGATGAGGTGCTTGGAGAAATTTCCCATGTGACTGAGACAGAGCAAATAAGCCTCCTGTTCAAACTGATCTGATTTGGGTAAAAAAAGAACAGTTGCTCACCAAAACAGAGATTTAAAATGGGATCTACCACATCCCAGACAAGTGCTGCGGTCATGGAGTTGTTGACTATTTGCACCAATAAGCCAACCAGCCCAGTGATGTGGCCTAGTCCCTGTGACATGCATCTTTCATGCTCATGAATGGCCCAGCTGGGCTGGGAACCTGCCTCTCACGTCTTTTTCTTCCCTTCTCCTTCCCACTGGTACGAGAAAGCTTTCCTGGTCAAAGCTGAGTGAAAGGCCTTTACTGCTTCCTTGCTGTGAGCTGGGGGAGCTTGTTCAGAGGAGCACTTCAGAGGATGCTTCAAGGCACCTCCCCTGCCACTGGGGGGACAAACTCCACCAAGAGCAGGACAAGACCCCCTAGAGAGCAGTGGGGTGGCCAAAACACAGTGAGGTGACTGAAACATGAGGGACCTGATGCGTGGGGATCCTGCAGCGCTGCAGAGAGGGGACTGCGCAAAAGAGCGGAGAGCAGACCCACAGTCAGACCACAGCAGGGGCAGCAAGGAGACTGTGGATTTCGTTGCACTGGGATATCTCCTGGATTACAGGACTGGCAGCAGATTGGGAAGGAAGAATCTACCAGAAAGGATACTGCGGAAAGAAGAAAGCTGGCTAACAAATCTTTGTTATTCTAGTTTTCCAAGTTGAAGTTTCACATTCAACATTTTCTGGCCAATTCCCCACTAGTTTTATGGGTAAAGGATATTTTGGCAGTAATTACCTGTCCTAGCACATATATTACAGTAATGCAACTTCCTTACAAGGGAAGGATTATATTTAACTTATATATAAACGTCTATAAGCCAAGTCTTGCCTGACTCTTCTGCTTACACGCATTCATCTAGCAAACTGTTTTTCCTTCTGTCTTCTATCTCTTTCAACTCAGCCTTTTCTCCCTTCGTCAGCAGAAATTTAACATAAATCAAAGCTGTGAGCTCTTTTGGAAAAAGACTGTCTCCTCTCCCCTTGTCTGTATAGTGAGGAGCACAATGAGAGCCAGGTCTCTGAGCAGCATTTTGAAGTGGCTGTGTGCTGTGTGTGTTGGAATACTTGAATTCTTTTTATTAGCCATAAAGGAAAGAAAGTAGGGTACAAATGTTGAAGTAATTTTGCCTCAAAAGTAGCTGAATCGGCATTCTGCAAGAATATAGGGATCTACTCCACGGCAAGTAGAACATAAACCCTATATTTTAGCAGATTCTCTGTTGAACAAAGGACTATTGCAAACCTTACTGTGTTTGGACCAGTCAGGCTTTTGGCAGGAGTTATTACAATGACTATTTCACAGCCTTTCAGATGAAAAAAAAAAAAAATATATATATATATGTATATATTTATTTATTTATATAAAATATATTATATATATACATATACCTATTACACAACTACTCTGCACCTGATTAGGATAAAAATAAACGCATCAAAAATTTGACCTCCCTTAATAATTTGTCTGACAAGACTTAATTCTTCTCTCTATGAAGGATAATGTCTACATAGCCTGTTTGGTGTCAGGTCAAGATTAAATCCAAAACAAGAACCAGTTTTTTTTTTCTAGGTATAGTAGGTCTATATAGGTCTATAGAAAGCAGCTGAATTGTGCCAAAGATTCCTGGATTAGACTGAGGCAAGATGACAAATACCAGTCGTAGTTCAAATTTCAGCTTTGTCTTTAGGTTCAATTTAACTGAAACAGTCCTCATAGTCATTTTTACCTGGCACTTGAGTTTTCAGCTCAGCAGATGAATATTTCCATTGACAATATAAGCATAGCCACAACTCATTTACCTGTGAGGTCATCATTGGGCCAGGAGCCGAGCTGGCAGGCCTTGCATGTGTATTCATCAGAGACATATTCATTCTCTTTACAAGGAGTGCAGGTCCAACAACAACTGACTTCTCCTTTACGGATCACCTGAGACAAAAATCAACATTTGATTTAGCAGCACAAATGAACATTGATGTTGCAGTAGTTGCAAGTACTGCTAACTAATTTCAGCACCTCTTTTTTAATACAGGCACTTTCTTTTATGCAAAAGGAATTTCTTTTTCATGATATATTTGCTGATACAAAATATGACCCAGCTTCTCAGTTCTCACATCATGTATGTACTAGAAGAAAGAAACCATGAACCTAACAGAAGTATAGCTGGAACTTCAGAATTACAATATGACTTTTTTTTTTCATCTCTTAGAAAACAATTTGCAAAGCTCAAAATATCATAGATGGAAAAGTGTATACAGAAGCCAGTAGGTAATATTCAAGGTGCATAATTCACTCCACTGTGGCTAGTACCTTGCAAGTGGAATCATGTTAGCAGTGTTATTTTCTTAAGAGTTCATTACCCAAAGATTTATTGTGCTTACTTTTCATCCAGTTTTGAGTGATTTGTTCAAACTGTAGGTTTTCCAGACATCAGGCAGAATGTTCCCTTTTCAAATCTTTTAAATTTGTGCATTGCTAATGAATATTTAACAGTGAGGATGCTATCTATGTCCGTTTTAACATCTACCCTGACTTCTCATTTTATCATCTACTGCCAAGTATTGCACACTCATGATTCAGATGTGGATTTTTCAAAATCCTTATTTATCATGTCTGGGCACTGAAAACATCTGTGCTCCTTGTCAATATGTCAAGAGTGATGAGAAGACCTCTTCCTTTGAAATAAAGTATTCCTAATCTTTCTACTCATTACATTCCAAAAATTTATAAACACATGCTCACAATTATGGCATGCAGACTTGATTGACATATGTATTTTTCACAGTGATAAATTTATAAAGTGGTTTCAAAACCAAATTATCTTATTGCAGTTTTAATAAATGTAATCCAAAGAGTCCAATCAAAAAGAATTGTATTGCTATTTCTGTATCTACAGTGGGAAATAAGTGTAAATTATAACCTTTTCATTAGCAATATGAGGACTTGAAAACTTCAAGTTTTGATTTCGTTTTTAAAATTGCAGAGTGTGAAACAACAACAAAAAGCCACCTGACAAGCTAAACTGGCAGAAAGGTAAATGAGAGCATAAGTGGTTTTCTCAGCAAGGGTTGACAGAAGAGCTACTTGAAAATCAGAATATTTGTCCCTAGAAAACTTGATATCTGAGACTTCTTTCATTTAGAATTGGAATGAAAAGCTGAACAAATGATTTTAAATGTTTCTTCTATCTGGAAAAATAAATTCTCAGAAAGCTCATATTAATTTTTAGACACATATTTTGCTAAATTTGAAGCTTTATAAAAATGCATCATTTTACAATGCATAAAATACTCAAGAAAAAGCAAAATAGAAAGTAGGTTATTATCAAGACACTTTAACTTTTTGCCAAAAGAATTCATTTTCAGTTTCTGGTTAAACTTTTCACTAAATCAATGTCTTCTATAAAATACTTTGATTTTGACAAATCTGTCAGAAAATTGTTATGCTGATTATTTCTTATGCTGTAACAACTGTGATTTTGCATCCTCCTCCAGGAATCAAAAGAATTGCTCTCCACTATTAAGAATCAATACTTTATTATTATTATTATTATTGTTGTTGTTATTATTATTATTATTATTATCATTATCATTATCATTATCATTATCATTATTATTAAATTGTTTAGTCATATATTTCTTTATTCCTTTGTTTCCTTTTTATTTATTAAACAATTGTTTGTTGTAGAAGTTGTAAAGTGAAACTCTTAATCTTAAATAATTGGGTATACGCAATGCTGCTGAGTGATAGTATACCATTACTTCGTACATTTCAAATTCCTTTACAATAACTCAGGCCCACAGAAATCTGCAGCAAAACCACCACAGACTTCAGCAGGCTCAAGTTTCCCCTCCATTTGTCAAGACCATGAAGGAAAGGAACCGTGGAGCAGTGTTTGAGGTTTACAGTCAATAGCTTAATGTGGAGACAGAATAACATTTCAGACAATTGTCCACTGAACACTGGACTTCAAGCAGGTGTCTAAGTGTTGGATTCCTTAGCTTCATAGTGGAAAATCCTCTTGGGGAAACCTTTGAGAGTACGGGCAGAAGGTGCTAATGAGAGACTGCTAAAGAAGGTCACAACATACTTCCCATCCCCTGAGTCATGGCAACTGCTTGTAAAGATATCAGCATCACCTAGTTTTGAAGTAATATCTGCTTGCCCATCTCCATACTCTCAAATACATGACTCTGTGACTGGACTAGGCTGACAGCAGACCTATGATCAGTTACTCTGGGTGTAATTCTTCCCACCTACCTTTATATGTCTTTGGAAAGGATGTCCTTATCTGAACTCTCCTAGCTGGATGCCTTTTGTGGTCAAGGAAGAAGTGTCTCTAGGCCAAGATTTATCTTACTTGTTTCTGAAACTTATTTTAGGATGAGATGAATCATGATCTAAGACCATCTATTTATTTCCATTGGCAATAAAGAAAGCTTAGAAATCTAACATAACTGTAGGTGCCTATGCTGAAGACATCTGCATTTGGTCTGATGAAACTCACTTACTGACTCTGCCAAAGACTAATTAGTGAATAAACCACGGTAACAATGTCCTAAACCTCTGGAAGACTCAGACGGAAGACATGAACTCACTCTCTATATTGTAGAGCATGGTCGCCCTTCTGATCTGCCGCTACTATAGCCTCTTCCCAGTTTTGCAGATAAGTCATGTTAATATGGGAGAAAAATGACTTAGTCTGAGCCACTCTATTCTCCATGCTCATCCCCTCAGTTCCTGGACTTTTAAATAAATGACTGCCGGGTAATCTATTTTAACTATTTTGTAAAGTGTCAAGGGTAACAGAGTCCAATTAATATGTAAGAGATACATCTACCCTCCTTCTTTACTGCAATATGCAAACAGATGGAGGAAAAATTGAAAGCCTAGGAAAAAAGAAAGTAATAAAATATATATGACTTTTAAAATATTACTTACTTTTTTGAAGTTCTAAGTAACAGTGGTTGTGTTACAATTTTCCGGTCATGTCTAACACTGAATTAGTAGCAATTATTATTTGTTATTTACCTGCAATTGTCCTTACAAGTCCCAGTGAGGGGTCCAGACTCCACTGAATTAAGTTCTGTAAAAATATCGAGCAACCCCTCACCCCCCTGCCAATCCTTCTTCTACAGTATTTGGAATGTAAGCATTAAAGAGAGGCAGCAGTTCACAGATGTAGGAGCACAAGCAAATAGCAAGATGATTATGACATAAGTAAGAAATATATACATAAGGCTGCTCACTTTAATGTAGATGTGTGAAACTCTGTAAGAAACGGGAAAAACCTGTTTTCAAATTTCAAGGCTATGAATATTGCACTTGGTGAAAATAAAGGCAGAAAATATTTACCTTGATCTGGCCTTTTTCACATGGCTCACTGCAGACCGATCTGATGATATTATTTTTCTCTGACCATACTTCATCATCATCCATTTTCAGCTCACCATTATCCCAGCTGCCAACATTGATATAGTCAAAGTAGTCCTTCCCCATTTTCTTAAAATTCATGATTTCATACCTTTGGAAGAATGAAGAAGAGATATAGGTCAGTTTAAGAAAGCATCACTAAATATTTCGAATTAAAGGAACAGTCAAAATTTAGTCAAAATACAGTCAAAATTAAGCCAATTAAAAATAAATAAGCAAAATTTCATGTGTTATGCTTGCTTTTGTGTCTCTCCTGATAATTTTTGTCATTTCACCATCTTCCTTTTCCTTTGCATTTTTTTCCTATCACCTTGAAAGTTACTGAAAACTTTGGGCTTAATTAACTGAGCACTTGAAAATCACTTTATTTTTAATTAGGCAAAACAATGAAACGAATCAGATGATTAAGTCTGCCCAACTTTAGGCATTTAACTGAGAAAAACTGGTAGTCTCCGTTGCTCTAGGCTCCCTCTGCAGCTAATGGAGAGAAATATATATTTGCATAGAGGCGATGCCCATTGCCAAGCACTCCTTGCTGTCTGCAGGCGGTTATTCCCCTCCCTAGAGAGGGAGCCTGAAGGCATCTAAAGCAAGGTAGAACAGATCTAGGCCTGAGGGATCAAAAAAGACTTAATGTGCTATAAGACTGCATAATATAATTGGCAGCCAGATAGGTATCAGGCACAAACTCATGGTGTATGGGAAGCATTAGAATGGGATGCAGGGCAGCAAGGAGTCTCCTAGCTCTAGCTAGTCACAGGACATCTTAAATCTTGTCTGTCTGCAGATTTCTGGAGGCCTCAGAGAGATGTTCTCACCAAGAGCAGCCTAGACCACGTAGCTGGGCTCTAAGTATTATTTGAAGAATGAAGCAGAGACTAACTTTTTTTTTTTTTAAAACAACAAATGCTGTTATTCCCACCCCTCTTCCCCCTTTCCTTTTTCTGTGGCTCCTCAGCACTCAGAACACATTTAATTTCTCACAAGAGTACGGTATGGAAGGGACAGGGAGAAGGTACTCTTGCCTCAGTCCTGAGCCACTACTGGGTCAGATCACTGCAGGCTCTGGAAACACAGTTGTTAATAACACAGCCACAGCTGATCAGAGTTTTCAGACTCAAATTTCAGGTGTAGGTGGACCATCCACCCTCTTCTCCCTTCCTCCTACTTCCTCTTTAGCTCCCACAGAGTCACACAGAAAGGCTGTGGGGTAGCCTAGGACTCGCTAAGCCTCCTATGAGCGTGGTGAGAGTCATGTCACCTTTCCTGCCTTACAGTCCACCTCTTTTAGTATTTATTTGTAAAGGATGTTTAGGAAAATTGTGCAGATCATGAAATGATGAAGTCAACCTTTTCTTTACCTCTTCTTTAGTAGTTCTTGAAGTAAATTGATTAAGCAACATTTCACCTGAAATTCAGTGATGGAAAACAAGCAAACAACATAGACCAAGAAGTGGAACACAGCCATAGTTTTAAAAGCCTGCCTGATCCATAAATTAGAAGCCAACCTTTTCCTGGCAGCAGGCACCAAACGAGTCCCCAAGGCAAAGCTCATTGACAAAGTTGGATAAAGATTGATATTATCAGTGTAATGTGTGCAGTTCAATGTGGATATAACTTAAAGAACCAGTGCATTAAATCAAATAGTCTCTTAAATAAGATACTGAAGACTTTTTTTTAAGTTTGAGGAAACACTTTAGAGACTGGCAAGCAGTAGGCATACAATAGCTCACGTTAATATATCTTGCAGGCCGCCAGCAAAAGATTAATAATAAAGTTCTTCCATGACTTTCTTTTCCATCCATGCATCTCTGAGTGCTTTTCATCAGGAGATGAAAACCATCCCAGTGGAGGAACTATGTCAGGGAGCTGCAGTGTCAGTGCCAAAATCACACGTAAGTCACGACTAGAATTACAAAGAGCCTGTGAAAGAAAATGAAAGCAGAGCTTGATTGGATGGGCAATATGGTGTGGTCTTGAGTCCTTCAGAAATAAGAAGATATAGGTAATGACACAGCTTGGAAGAAGACTCTCTGACAGCCTTGGATTTTGGAATGTTTACTTTCTATCTTGTATAAAGCAGGAAATGTCTACATCTTCGAGACTGACCTATCTCGTGCACATAAAGGTCTGAGATATGAACGCCAGACTGACATAAATAAATTTACTTCCAGATAAAATATACTTTTTAAAAAAAGGCCATTCTTAGACATGATTAAATAACTCTCTCCTCCCCCGCCCAAGGGTTTCACAGGCATAGAAACAGTCTGCTCAAGGATTAAAGAAACTAACCGAAAAGTTAGGCCAGAGGCCCTGTGGAGCCTTTATTTAGCCTTGTTTCCTAACATTGTAATACTCCTTTAAATGTCGCTTTGTTAAAGTTGACAATTCAGAGTTTTATGGGCAGATGAACAAAATTACTGCCAGTGTCTGGCAGGCTGCTGGAACCGTTACCCCTCCAGTAGCTGCAAACTTGTTCCATGAGTACATCCCACAGGGAGTACTGGAAAGAAACATAACAAATTAAACATAGCTATTGCCTCAGTATATTGTGTCTTTCACAAGCCCTCTTCAGGGAACAGGACTGGTGGACTGACAGTAATAGCCAGACTTAATAAGTCCATTGACCGTTGCTGTACTGGAGGTTCATGAGTCACTGGTTCCCTGAAGCTACCTCGAGATACCACAGGGACAGTTTGTCACTTTAGGATAGGAGAGACCAGATGGTGCAACAGCGCATTTCCAGCAGGGCCCTAGTCACAGTGAAAAACACTTGTTGCAAATTCAGTTTCAAAGCAGAAGTGCCGTGAAGTTGCTGAGAAGACGTATTTTATTGGTAGCACAGGACGAAAACATCAGCATCTTGGTCTTCATGCCTTTTCTTGCCTTCTCAATTTCTTCTTCAGAGTTTCTATAGTATTTACAAATTAGATGTTATCTTCCCACTAAAAACATGGTCATTCCTTCCCTACTCACTTCCTTTTTCCATGTCTTCTGTCCCACCTAAAGTAAACTCTCCACTAGACTATATGTCTGCCTAAAGCCAAGCATACACACAGAGGATTTTGGGATATGGCCAGAATTTGAAGCATCTTGTGGGATTAATCATCTGTTGTATGACTGTATATAAAATCAAAACGCTTTTACTATACATCAAAATCCTGAGCTATCTAGGTCAGAAAAAGCCTAGAAAGGCTCTTTCTGTTTTGTTTTTCTGCTTAACACCACCAGTATCACATCACAGCCGTAAGGATTTCAATTTCCGTTTTTCAAAGCAAAGATGTAGCTATTCATGAAAGTGAACAAGGTAGACAAGTTATTCCAGTGTGACTGCACCATCTCCCAGCTGTTGCAAATGGCATCTAACAGCACGCGGAGGACTAGAAACTACTCAAAAGCTGGGAATTAGGGATGGAGCTTCCTAAAAAACCTGTTGGCCAGTTGAAGCACATAGACTCCCTTCTGAATTTAATGATGTGCCCATCGTTGTAGAAGATGAGGCAACAAAGACCTATGTTTCAAAAGTAATGACACTTTGGGAGCCTTTTATTCCCATACACAGTCCACTAATTTGGGTAGATAGAGCACTACCACATCTCTTACGCATCCTGGTAGGTTGGGCTATCTGAAAGTCACATTACCCTGAGGTGCATAATCAGAGCGGAGTCCATTTGCTCTTCGGTGAAACACTACATGATCTACTGATGCTCTACTGTGTCTGAGCAAATGATGGCACGTGATATAATTGCTTCATCATCTTTCTTAGAATTAAATAAAAACAACAAAACAAAACTAAACAAGAATTTGGTTAAATTCTTTGTAACAAACGAAATTAAATCATTATTGTCAAGCATGTCAAACCTGAGAAAAAGGAAAAGGTAAGGGTCAGTTTGCAACAAGTAAGCATTGTCATTGGTTTATTATCACGCCACATAATAATTTATTTACTTGGGCCTTTGGTCTTTCTGCAAGAATTGAGCGAAACAGAGATAAGAATAATGTAGGATGCAGTCTACTGCATCTAAGCATCTTTAAAGCAAACGGAAATTCTTTAAGGGAAGTCTGGAATAAGACTTCAAAAAACTTTGATCAGAAAAATCTAGACTGAGCACTTTTTTTTTCAGAATTCAGCTATTTTTAAAAATAGAAGCATTTAACAGAAGACAACCTTGCTCACCAAACCAGTTCTGAAAACATACACGAGTCTCATAGCAGCTCTCAGTGCGCTTCCTTGGAGTCTGAGTGCTGAAGATTTCTAAAATGTGCCTCTCCAGAAAACTAGTTCATCCAGACTGCTTTGTAGGTGGATGCCCTGTTATCTTTTGGGGAAAAGGCTGGCATTACAGGTTTTCATATAAAATAAGAAAAAAAAATCAGTTTTGAAATATGATGAATATTCTGAACTATCATAATATTCCAATCAGTAGAATTACCTTTTCCTGCCCAGCTCTATTCTGAAGTTAATATTTTTCTTTTAGTTCACATTAAGGGGAGAAGAGAGAACTTAAATAATGAGTGCACGGGATGAACAGTTTTCCCTCTAGTCATCTGTTTTATACAATTTCATCAGAAAGTTATTTAAAATATTCCCAATAATGTAGACAGAAAGGGCTACCTTAGTCAACCTGGAGCAAGTCCAGTGAATGAGACAGGGATCTACCCACCGAACTATGAGGAAAAAATAAATACACTTTGGGTGCTATCACACTTCCTGTTCATCTTCTGACAGCTCAGTAGGAAGAAACCTAGAAAAAAATCTCATTACTCTTTTTAATATGTATTTTTTGTAGGGATACTGCATATATTCATATTTCATAGAAAAAGAACAACTTCCACCATATTTTACATATGTATGTATATATATACATATATGTAAGCTATCAGAAAAATCAGATTTGTTTAAATTCAATTTGGCTTATAGCAGTACAGTTTGAATCAATAGCTTAGTCTGTTATGCAGGTGGAAAGGCTTTGATGAGGAGGTAATGAAGTAGATTTATAATAACTAACATGGAAAAAAATCCCATACAAATCAATACATATTTTTGATATTGTTTTAGATTTTTTTAAATAAATGAACTAAGTGCAGGTAATTATTCAAATAACGACTGCTTACCACTCACTCAAACACATGCATTTAAACACCTAAAGAGAGAGAGAAATCTTGTGGTGGCCGTCATGGTCTATGAAAATAAAATTATATGCATATAAAGTCATATGTCAAGGTCTATGAATATAAAGTCATGTATATATGGACTAGTCATCTATCTCTCTCTCTCTATATATAGATAGTCATATATATAGATGACTGTATAGAGCCCTCGTATATATGACTCTCAATATATACATGACTAAATTTAGTCATATGTACATGGCTATAAATATAAAGATTGGTTTGCAGTGAGAAGGTACAAGTTTAAAAGGTACAAGTAAAAAAGTAAATCCATACAGGAAGATTGTATGCCTGAAAGCTCATCTCTTGTTTCCAACCATAATTTAAAATATGATGCAAAAATACACATCAAAAATAGTTAATATTGGAAAATTAAGCACAGAAAGTCAGGAAATGCTAAAATAAAAGTATAAGACCCCAGTTCTGATGCTAAGTGTGCATGTATCTATTATGTACAGTTAGCATTTCTGTTATTTAACACTGACAAATGTTAACATTTACCTTCCTGGTGAGTCTCCGTTCTCATCAAACAAGATCATATCCCCAGAGACCCCAGTAAAATTCGTCTTCATGAGGGATTCCAGGAGCTTGCGACCATCTATGGGCTTCATGGCGTCGCAGAGGCCCACGTAGCCCGGGCAAAGTGACATCTGCATGTTGTGGAGGCCGTATGCCATGGAATATATCGCGTTGATTACAAAGCCCATTTTGGAGTCCTGCACGTGCTGCGTCCTCAGGGTCATCTGGCCTGCCAGGGAATATGGCAAAGCAACGGGTTAGGGGGCAGGCTTAAAATACAGTCAGCTCATTAGATAGCTGTTGGTGGGTTGGTAATTGACGGTGGAAAAAATCTTCTTAAGAGCCTCGAGCAGTTCATGGTATGACACTGGTATCAGTATACACACTATTTTTTTTTTTTTGAAGAAAGGAATGAAAGAATAGGTTCTTTTTAAACATAGTTCTATCCATCTGATGCCTTTCTCTGTGCCACTCCACACCTGCCATGTATTGTTCCCCAGCTACTTCTTGTCCTTCTTTTTCTTTTTAATCTATCACTAATACTATAAAACAACATTCCAACAATGCCAGGAACATATCCCAGCTGGCAGAAATCTCTCCAAAATCTCAGAAGTCTTTTGAATACTAGAGGTGGAAATGTTAGTGATGAGTGCATGCAGTAGCAATTTTGTCGACCATACTTTTATTTCAGAGAAATGGGAAACCAATCTGATGTGAATATACTGATTGAGGCACAGCTTCTTTGCTGTACTAAAAGTTTCTTGTGCTAATAACTCTTCTACTTCTAAGTTTCTTGCCCCTCTTTTTTTGCAAAATGGGGATAATGATGCAATGCTGGTGAATGCATTACAATGTCTGCAAAGAGCTTGATGATGTGGGTAGGTGAGTATCAGCCATATCTGCCCCAGCATCTCTTGTCTGCTTAAGCCAGAACTGGTTACCTTTAGTTTTACTTTTCAAATATTACATCTGGATTTCTATTTTCTGTTCAAGCTTCTGTAAAATGTACAGTAAAAATTCCTTCAGCAGCACCCTGAAGGGCTTTTTCATAACCCTTTTCATAACCCAGGGTTATTAATGACATGGATTGGCTCCATTGCCAGCACCGGTCCAGCAGAGGAAGAGGAGGCTGGAGGTTTTCTGCCTTGTGTGTCACCAGCAAAGCTGCCAGCTGCCCTCCAGCCAGCAGATCTTTGACCCCAGGGGATAGGGTGAAACACCATGAGCTGCACTGGTGCTGCTAGGAATTAGCTGGACGGCTGGGAAGATGTAAGATCTGGAGGACAAACAAAGAGCTCTACAATGCCATTTTTTAGAACATCTGTTATTCTTTTATCGATTGAACAGCAGTCCTCAGAGCCAGGGAGTCTCATGTGCAAGCAGCTGGGAAGGCCCGGAGCGCAAAGGACGCTCTGAATCCCTCCTTGGCCACAGTGACAAGGGAGATAGAAAGCCACTGCCAGCAAGGAGGGAGCCTTTCTCCCGAGGAGGGGCTGGCAAGGGGCGGGGGTGGCACTTAGACCTGCCAGCCACAGCTGCTTCTCACAATGTGAGAAGCAATTTATGTCATGAAAAGACCAATGTACAGACAATTGTTTTTTTTCTTGAAAGAAACAAAGGCTAACATGTGACTCTGAGGGTGGCACTCATCTGTGCCACACTGTTATCCATCCAGAAGGTAAGCATCCAGTCTGATGTCTGTGCAACTTCAGTGGAGATGAATAAGACTTGCTGGTGGGTGATTGATCCTATCAGAAAGTAGGTGCATCTACAAGCTGCCCTTTTTGGGAGTGAGCAATAACATCACCAGACAGACCTAGTCACTAAAACATTTTGGAGTACCAAAAAAGTCTAGAGGGTAGCAGAGATGCGCAGTTCTTACTAGCATTGAAAATCATTGAGCAGAGGTAAGTAAGTGAAGGAGAGAACTGAAAGACCTCTTTTCTCCTTCGGTTTGGTGCTGGAATTGGCACTTCTAGTTCCAGTTCACCTCAGGAGCAGTGATTAATGCTTTGGATAGTTAAGTGACATGAGCTCCAAGTATCTATACAGGAATAAAAACTCAGAAACAACACACAGTGTTCCTCATTTGTTCCATTCTACCAAGGTATTGCCTTTTCCTAATTAAAAATAATAGGCGTAAAAACTGCAACATGTAAAACCAATATTAATTGAAATTAAGTGGAAAATTGAGCAAGCGTATTACATTGCAATGCACAAAACTTTAACCAATTATTCATCCTCAAAATTAACTGCTCACAAACCATGCAGTTAATTATAGTAGCCATTAGAATGAATCAGATTTGCATCAGCAATAGTATTTATTATGAAACAATATTTCAGCTGCTTTATTGTATATGATTGCTTAAAAATTGAATAACTTAATTCTTACAGGAACACTCTCCCCTGGGCTTTGTGCCTCAGATTTATAGAATTATTATTCTGACTTTCTTTAAACATTCAATATTATTCAGTTCACCTGATAATTCGTAACGAGGTGGCTTAGCTCTTCACAGAAGCTGCTAGCAATTGTCAATGGAGTTGTGAAGGAATTAACTGCTATGAGAATACATACTTTCTGTAGCTGGAGAAAACATTACCCTGAGATGCTAACTGGCTTGCTTTGCTATGCAGGCAGAAATCTGACTGTCAGTCAATAGTACCTCAAGACTCTGTAATTAAAAGGAACATCTCAAAAAAATGAGGCAGAAGAATTTTTTTGCTCTTTAGTGTACCATAATCACATTTTTAAAATGCCAATATTTAAAGAATCTTTTGGTATATCTGAAAGTGGTTTTCAACTCCAGTTTTGCAAAGTTCTTAAGCATGTCAGACTTGAAGCATATGCATACTCATATTTACCTCAGTGATGCTATCAGTGGATTTAAGTGCAGGCTGAATATACAAATTAGAAGCTAGTCTCTGATTCAGATAGAAAGTAAATGCTTTTAAAATCTTTCTCTACAGCAAGTATGATTTAGGTAGCCTTTAAAACCCACTTCACTTAAACAAGTATTAGTTCCTGTTGTCTTCTCTGGGACTCAAATCCGTATTCTTAAACTCATTCTCAAGCGCTATCTTCAGTCAAGAAACTTTCCTGACATGTGGTCATAGGGTTGTCATGAGATTGATGGATAGCACTGATTAATTTAATAATGCTGGGACCAATAACATTCAACAGAATTAACTTTATAGTTTGACTTTTAATCAAGAATAATATAAAGTTCTATTAGAAGTTGGTAAGTTCCTGCAGAATTACTAGGCAGAGGAGATAAATAAGTATCCACACAGTGCAACTCATGTGCTTCCTTATATATCCGTAGTAGAACCATACTTTTATATTAAATTCAAAAACTGTTTCCACCACTTTCCACCTGTTTTTCTTTGCCTTGCACCTTCCCATATGAGAAGACTTTGCAAAGAAGGAAATAAAGATGTTTTGCTTTCCTGAGGGTTAGGAAGAGCCAACATGATACCATTTAATGTTGGCGTGCAGGGGTACGTACAACCTGATCACATGAGTGTTTCAGTTCGGATCAGGAGTGGGCTTTCAAAATCGAATCTCAGAACGGTTCCTGTTTGCAGTGCTTTGGTTTGCATCACGACAGTCTCAGAGCAACGCACCAAATTTTGACAGAAACTAAGCTGGATGATGAGCTCCAGGAAAGCACCTAACGTACTCCTGCTGCAAATGGACACTCAAGCCATGGGACCAGGCTAGAGCCAGTCTGGAGTGACGCTCTCCTGCGATGCGACTCTCTGCCTGCCCGCAGTGTTTGCTCACAGGCACAGACTCAGCCTCACTCCCAATTTGCTGCAGACAGCAGGAGCTGCAGGTACACAGGCAGCAACGTGCGTCGGCCAGGTACAATGCTGCACTTTGTAGGTCTCCAAACGATGCTTGTTGCAATTTTGACAGGCTTAAGCACCTATTCTATGGTAAGCTTAAGAGATTTCTTTCTGGTGCATAGTTTATTTTCCCACAAATGTTGTTTGGAATAATACTAAACTATTTATGAAGCTGTGCTGAATTTAGTGACTATTGCCACACGATTATAGAAAATAATCTATATTGCAGTACCTCAGAACAATAAATATTAAAGTTCTATCGTGCTAACTAATGCAGGAATAAATAATTCTGCCTCCTGCAGTTAGGATGTAACAGGCAATGGAAGAAAGCAGGGTGAATCAGATCACTCTTAACCAGAATGAGGAAAGGCATACAATATTCGAAACCAGAAAAGATCAAATAATGCAGAATTCTCTGCCTTCAGATTAAAATATGAACTCTAAATTTGCGGAGAAATGAGGTAATCTCCATAGTTAGAACACCTGCGTATGCCTCTGAATTCTGTCCTACTTATATCACAGTCTTTCATGTCCAAGCAATTTTGGTGAGCAAATAAGGGCTTATCCTAATATTCTCCTGCCTGATCATGAGACAGTTCTGGGTTTGAAGTTGCATAGCCATTTCTGTCTACAAAATATTACATAGCCAAATCCTATCCCTTCTTGTATAAATCAAATAACCCATCAGTGCTTCAATTTCCCATTGAATAATATTTATTTTCTCCTACCTTTTATCTGACATTTCTCTTTAGACTAAATATTCCTCAGGAAGAGGACTACTTTTCATCATATTTCTGCTTTTCCTGGGTATCTTGCAATAAGCATGTTATTGGCTGGAGCCTCTAGGTGCTATTGGACTATCTCCGAAATGAAAAGAAAATCATCCTGGATTTCACAGAAAAAATAATAAATATATAAATAGTTACTCTGTAGATCATTCTAGGAATCTGTAATCTATTGAAAAATGGTTTATTGCATCAAACACTAGCTTAAGATTCTCCTACTACTGGAATAGATGGTTAATATCCATGATTTCTCCTGCTTACGTATATATTCTGCATGCCTGGATTTATCTGTATGTTCCTCAGCTTATTATAGGACCGTGGCTACATCAAAGCTGGAGGACAGTTCTGAAAACAGTATTAACTCAGAGCATTATAACCTGTACCCCTTCTGCCTACGCTGCCAATTGTAACCCAGTTTACGAAATTTCAGCAATAACACCACAGAGGATAAATGCGGGCTGTGCAGGGCGATCATACACTATGCTACTCAGAAATGGCTCATAAAGGAAGAGCTTGGGGCAGTGCAAAGGTGAGCTCAGGTCTGCCTATGGAGCGTGAGCTGAGACAGCCTGCTAGCACCAGCCGGGGAGGTGGA